AGTTCAGCTAGGTTCTCTGCTTACTGTCTTCCTCCTGAACACGGTAAGAGAAAGTATTGGGTTGTTTAGCTCTTCCTATCTCTTTCTGCATCTTACGAAGTAGGGAGGGAGGATATTTAATATTCCTTTTGTAGATGAGAAGTGAAAGGTGGAAGTCACTTGGAAAGAACTTGTAGTTAGTTCAAGGAAGAATTTTCTTACAGGAGGAATTTTCTTATCTTTACCCAAACATTAAAGAGACTGAGAGATTGTGAGTGCTTAGGATGGAGAGAAGTATTGAAGAGAAATATTCCTATATCCTGGGCACAACAGAGAGGTGGGTGTATTCAGTCTCTCTTGGGCATGCATGCCAAGATATTTGAGGGGGTAATCCCAGCTAAAGTGGCAACTACTGGGGAAAAAAGAGTATCCTATCTGGCCCACTATGGCAGAGGTGTTAATATCCTGTCCCCTTGGGTGATGCTAATAAACATGTTAGGTCACCTCAGCAAGAAGAGCTGAGGTTCTGCTTCCTCATCTATTAGCCAAGCTGTCAGGAAGACCGAATGTTTGTGTATATAAACTGTGAAGAGTTACACACACTAAAGTCAGTAACATCACTATCACTAGTCAATCTGCCTACTGTCTTGTCTGTGTTAACTTCTCAATCACTACAGATTCTTGCAATGGATCTTCCTCTACTGGTTAATGAAAGTCTAACAAGATTTCACCTTTTGGTGTCTTGTCAGAGATATATCACACATATGTAAGAAATATACTTCACATAATATACTTTGCCATTTCTTGATTATTGGTTTGTTTGGTCATCTTCATAGCCGTGTGATGTACTCCTGGCAATCCATCTGTAACTCTAATTGGCACAAGCCATATTTTAATTGCATAAAGAGAAAAATGGCTATTTCAAGAAACCTATGATGAATCTTTTTATTTCTACTTTTGACCCAAGGGCTGCCCCCTCCTCCTCCCCCTCTGTTCCTCACTTGGCTCAGTTCTGTCCCAAGAGCATGGAGTCATCCAGTATGTCTTGTTGGTGAATGATATATCTGTACCACAGCACAGCATGACAGGTGAAGGGATTGCTAGGGTCTTGGCAGTATTAATCAATCATGGTTCTACCAGAGCCTGAGGTCTGAGACTCTGCAGGGCTGTTCAGGAATCAAGCATGGTTATAAGGGTCCTGTGTGTCTTAGTTTAAGTGTGCCCTCTTATGTTGAGAAGAAAGGCTGGAAAAAGCAGATTAAAAAAAAGAGCTGGCCAGATGTCCATGGCCGGATACCCCCCTTGCATGCTTTTGGCTTCTGTAATCTTGTGTGCCTCTTGGGTCAACCAACTGCCCACATAGCACAACCAATTAGTGCCCCCCCCCTTTTTTCCTTGAGCCCCTGCAATCCCACCCACCTGTGCAGCTGATAGAAAGTTTCCAAGTCAGAGAAGCTGGCCAGGCATAAAAGTAAACCAGGGCTTGGGGCCCAGCCTTTGGAGATGACTCTGCTGGGTCGGTACCAGTGAGAAATAAACAATCTTTTCTGATTCCCTGAGTGCGAGTCACTTGTCCCTTCCTGGGCACCGTGTATTTGCTGTGACAATGTTGGTATAAGAAGGGCAGTTTCTTTTGTATATGATGACTTGGGAACAGAGATGGGTTTGTGTTTTACTTTTTTATTTTCTTAGGACCTTTAATTTCCATGGCTTATTTCCTTTTTCATTACCAGATCTCTACAGAATACCAGCCACAGAAATGGTGCTTTCCCAAGAATGTCGCCTTTGGTCCTACACACTTACCATGCTTGTTCTCTGTTGTTTTTTAAAAAAAGCTTTATTGGAGGGTCACCTGGGTGGCTCAGTAGGTGAAGCATCCAACTTCGGTTCAGGTCATGATCTCTAAGTTCGTGAGTTCCCGCCACGCTTCTGGCCTCTGTGCTGACAGCTCAGAGCCTGGCACCTGCTTCAGATTGTGTGTCTCCCTCTTTCTCTGCCTCTCCCCTACTCACTCCCCTGTGTGCTCTCTGTCTCTCAAAAATAAACAAACGTTTAAAAATAAAAAAAAAGCTTTATTGAGATATACACCCACTTAAAGTGTGCAATATATATATTCACAGTTTTGCAACCATTACCAGAATCTAATTTTATAATATTTTCATCAAAAGAAACTCCATACCCACTAGTGATCACTCCCCATTCCTCCCCACCCCTAGTCCCTAGGCAACCACTAGTCTACTTTCTGCCTCTGTAGATCTCCCCATTCTGAAGATTTCATTAAAATGGAATCATGCCATATGTGGTCCTTTGTGACTGGCTCTTTGACTTAGCATGATGTTTTCAAGGTTCATCCATGTTGTACCAGGTATTGGGACCTCATACTTTTTTATGGCTGAATATTCCTCCACCACATGGATATACCAAACCTCTTCCCTTTCCTTTTATTTTTTGAGATTATAGTTGATATATAACATTATACTAATTTCAGATGTACAATACAATGATTCAATGTTCATATATTATTGTGAAATGATCACCATAATTAAGTCTAGTTTACATCCATCTTAATTTTTTTTTTGTGATGAGAACTTTTAAGATCTACTATGTTAGCAACTTTCAAATATACAATATGGTATCATTAACTAGAGTCGCCATGCCATCCATTACGTCTCCATGATTTATTTGATTAAATGGGAAGTTCATACCTTTTGGTAAGCTTCACCTATTTTGCCCACATTCTACCCTACTCCCTCTGGAAACGGGCAATCTGTTCTCTGTATCTATGAGTTTGGGTTTTGTTTGTTTGTTTTAAATTTGACATACAAGTGAGACCATATAGTGTTTGTCTTTCTCTGGCTTATTTCACTTAGCATAATGCCTTCAAGGTCCATCCATATTGTGGCAAATGGTAAGGCCTCCTTCATTGGATTCCCTTGTTTTCAGTGCTCTGAGTGGCCAGGTCTCAGACCTGTTCTCCGTATAGCTCCTTTTGAGGAGTGAGTGTCTTCTTTCTGGGGGAGATAAATCTGTTTCACCATGGCTATTTCTCATTGCCTTATCCTCTTTGTGGATAATTCCAATGTCTGAACATTTTTAGGTCTGTTTATATGGACAATTTTTCTCCTACTGGTTCTGAGTTATGGAGACTTGATTCTGTATAAAGGTTTGTGCTTGTATCTGCTACAACTTTTTTTGTTGTTTTTGAGCGTAATCTGTGGGAATTCTCACTGATTTACACTGAGAGGACAGTCTTCTGGGCTTTATGTGCAGGTCACTGTCCAAATCATCTGGAACGTGCCCTCAGTTTTGTGTTCTAGCTTCACCACCCATGCAGTCTAAGATTCTCCAAGAAGAAAGCCATATTTGGCACTTGTTTATTTCCCTGGGTTCCCGGTTTCACTTTCATTTGGGGGCTTAGCTTGTTCTTCCTCCTTTTCATTAAGTTAAGTGGAAATTCACTTTAAATGTTATTTTATTTCAAATCCAACAAATTAGTTGTTTCAGTTAGGAAGGTCATTTGGGTATAATTCACCACACTGCCAGATGAAGAAATCCTAAGTAAACTTCATTTTGCTGGTCTTTAAAAAGATATTTTAAATTCCCCTTATTCCTGAACATATCAGTCCATCTATTTTATATTTGTATTGAGACAGTTGCTTTTCCTGACATCTTTATAGGTGTGACATGGCCATGTCTTCTTGGCTTTCACCCACAAGGTCTTGTTTCCTTGGACTTTGAGATTTGTGTTATTCAATTTCCTTTAAAAAGTTATCTAGGAAAATTATTTGAGCCTCGGTTTAAGATTCTCTCTTAAGAATCTTAACTGAGGATTTGTGTTTGGTTCTGATTGTTACTTGAGGGTACTGCCAACCTGGAATTACTTTAAAATGAATTCTCAGCTGAAGATTCCTTGAACTTCCCAGGTAGTATGAATTCAGACCACAAACCTCCTTTAGATTAGACAGTTACAAATTCTCAGTTTACTGCTCCCCCTACCCAGCATGAAATCTGAGAGAGTCAAGATTTCCTCTTTGTGAGACATAACTTTTTTTCTCTTAATTTCCTCTCACACTGAAGTACGGTGATTAGACCCTCATATGTATGTCTGAGTCTCCTAACTCCCAGGCAGCCCCAGGCTTGGTCTCACTCTCCCAAGCCTCACATGCCTGTCAAAATGTAGATCCTGTCAGAGTTCAGCAGATTGTCCTAGCACGAAAGCCACCTTCCAGGCTGCCTTTACTCTCAGGCTTCCTGATTTTACTTTATATTGGATTCTGAAAGTTTCGTCGTTTCTTGCCTGCTCAAGAATGTATTTTTAAAATATTTAAAAGAAAAATTGGTCCTTCAGCTTTGTAAGGATGGGTACCTTTATGCTATCCAGTCTGTCATAATAATGGATAATAACTTAGACTCTTACTTTAGAGTCCAAATGACCATTTATTTCCTTTGTAGTTTAGCTTTCCCAGATCAGGGCTGTACCATGGAAATCCCCTGTTCATTCACTTGCAAACTACTGATACCGAGTTCTAGAAGTAAAAACCCAGAAAACAAACTCTAGACCAAACTTTCTATAGCAGATCTCCCTGCAGGGAATTAGGTCACAGTCTGAAGTAATGTCAGCTGGAATTTTCTCAGGCACCCAGAGAGTTCGGAGTCTGGTATGAAGTGGTCATGATGCTGCTTGTGATGTGGTGTAGGAGAAAGACCACTGGCCTTGTGTTTAGCCCTAACCTCTCTAGCCTGTAGGCAGAAGTTCTGAAAGAATATGTAAGGGCTTTTAACTAAAGGCTTATATTAACATAACAGGTAATAAAGTAGCTGCCTTGCGAGGTTATTTCTGGTAAGCAAGAGAAGAGCCAACTGTCAAGGTTCAAAGAAGCCACAGGATTTGCATTGCACTGAACTAGTCCTGGATTTGGATGGGTTGACTCACTTGCAACCCTGACAGAGCATCAGTAGGGTTGAATAAAGTTAAATGCATTTCTTCTGCATCGTCTAGAAACTTCCAGTCACCAGGGCCACTAGCCTTCCAGAACTTTACTATGACAATGGGAAAAGGCCCTCTTCTTACACCTTTTCAAGGCATCTTTGATCTCCTTGTTCCTTAGACTGTAAATCAAAGGATTCAGCATGGGGATCACCACTGTATAGAATACAGAAGCCATCTTGTCACGGCCCAGAGAATTATTATCAGTGCTAGGGTGCATATAGACAAAGAGTCCTGATCCAAAAAAACAGATCACTGCCATCAAGTGAGAAGTACAGGTATTGAAAGCCTTGGACTTGCCTTCAGCAGAGCTGATCTTCAGGATGGTGGCAATGATATAACCATAAGATATCATGATGACTGAGACAGATATTACACCAAAAATCACTGCTATCACAAACTTCATGACTTTTAGGAAAAAGGTTTCAGAGCAGGAGAGGACTAATAATTGAGGCAGGTCACAGAAGAAGTGGTTGATAACATTGGGCCCACAGAAATTGAGCTGAAGTAAAGCACACAATGGGACCAATGAACCAAAGACACCAGATATACAGGCTCCAACCATCATCTGCACACAGAGGGTGGGTGACATGATGGTGGTGTAGAGTAGAGGATTACAAATGGCAGCATATCGGTCATAAGCCATGGCTGCCAGGAGACAGCATTCAGTCAGACCCAGGCTAGAGAAGAAGAAGTACTGCATGGTGCATCCCAGAAAGGAGATGGATTTAGGCGTCTGGAAGAAGTCTGAGAGCATTTTCGGGGTTGTGGAGGTAACATAGCAGAAATCTAAGAAGGATAAGTTACTGAGAAAGAAGTACATGGGCGTATGTAGGTGAGAGTCCATCTTAATCAGGATGACGAGGCCCAAGTTCCAGGCCACTGTCAAGAGGTAAGAACCCAAGAATATGACAAAGAGAGCAATCTTGAGCTTGGGATAATCTAAGAATCCCAAAAGGATGAATCTGATGACTATCGTATTGTTCCTTCCTCCAGCCATTGTCTTGAAGTTTCTTCAATCTGCAGAAACGTCCCTGGGTTAATGATCGACTATCTTAGTATTATGAAACTTACTTGTTTTAAATATGGTTTCATGATTTGAACAAAAAGTTATCCATAGTCAGCTTTTTCTAACACAAAAAAATTATTTTAAAAACCATTGGAGATTCCATTTCCCAATTACTTTTCATAGTTTGGAATATATTCTTGCAAATATTGTAACACACACGCACAGGCACACACAGACACACACACACACAGACACACACACACAATGTTGCCAAATTGTTATCTAAAATTGATACCAATTTACACAAGTATCAAGATTTTATGACAATATCCCTGGCCATTCTATTGTCAACACTGCCCATAATGTTTTTTTTTTTTTAAACTTTAGTCCTTGATAATCTTAGATGAAAAAATTACATCATTGTTTTTAATTTTGCATATACTTTACTGATTTGCTCATATACATTTTTTGCCTCTTAGTCTAGTTGGTTGTTCATTACTGATTTCTAGGAGCTCTTTACATACCAAGGATAATAACTCTTTTGCCCTCATTTTTGTTGCTAATTCTTTTCCAAGTTTATTATTATGAATATTGTTTATGTTGTATTTTGCTATACAGATTTCTTTTATTTTTAAGTAGTCAATTTTCTGTGATATACATGGTTCCTGCCTCTGGTCTTATACTGAAAAAGATTTCTTTGCCCAATCCAAAGATTTTTTTCTTATATTTTCTTTTTGTTCTTTTGTATATTTATATTTACATTTAAATTTTCTAGATGATGTTAGTGCGTATGTGAGGTATAAATCTGAGATTATTTTGGTTTTGTCTTCCCAAACTGATTGTCACTTGTCTCAACATACTTAAATGATTTCTCCACAGATTGAAGTTACGTGCATGATGAAATTTTTTTATAGATTCCCTATTCTGCTCGATATTTTTTAAGTTTATTTATTTATTTTGAGAGAGAGAGAGAGCACGAGCAGGGAGAGGGGCAGAGAGAGAGAGGGAGAGACAGAATCCCAAGCAGGCTTCTTGCCATCAGTGCAGAGCCCAACTTGGGGCTGGAACTCATGTACTGTGAGATCACGACCTGAGCCAAAATCAGGAGTCAGACACTTAACCAACTGACCCACCCAGGAGCCCCCTGCTCAATTTCTAACCTGTCAGTCTGTGTGACATTTGTCCAGTCCTGCACATTTTCTAATTACCTATAATCATATTTTACTAATAAATTATATAATTGTATAGTTAATAATAGTTATATAATACATTGCTAACTGGTAAGAAAAAGTTCTCTCATGTTTTTCACTCTGAGATTGTTTTGATGGTTCTCATATTTATGCCTTCAGAAGATCTTTATGATGAATTCATCATACAAAGAAAAGAGTATTTTTTTAAAATGTTTTATTTATTTCTAGGAGAGAGAGAGAGAGAGAGAGAGAGAGCGAGAGAGAGAGACAGCGTGAGCAGGAGAGGGTCAGAGAGAGAGGGAGTCATAGACTGAAACAGGCTCCAGGCTCTGAGCTGACAGTCAGCACAGAGCCCGACGCGGGGCTCGAACTCATGAACCGCAAGATCATGACCTAAGTGAAAGTCGGACACTTAACCGACTAAGCCGCCCAGGCGCCCCAAGAAAAGAGTATTTTTATTGCATTTCATTGTTACATTCGTTTGGAGAAAAATAAAAGTTGTCTCTTTGCTAAGCTGTTGAATTAAGTTATATAAGAGATAACACTAAACATTCTTATAAATAGTATAATATTAAGACTATCAAACTTGGAAGAAGCACCCGGCTCTAGCAACATACATGCTAGACTCCAAGCTCTGTCCCTATATTGTTATACCTTCTTTGTCATCAGTTTCCTTTATGTGTACAATGAGATCACTATTGACATTCTCTTTGTATCACAAAGACTCTATAATGCTTGAGGGAGGAGTAATCATGGCAGAAAAGCACAAAGAAAAGTGATCCATTATTCTAGAACATTATTAATCTGATTTTAAATACCCAAAGAAGAGGATTATTTAACTACTTGGAAGGGAAAACTGTCCTGACTCTGTGTTATCTGTCAGTGTCCCTGATGAGGCCATAAGATCCAGACTATTTTGCCACAAATCTATGATCTGAATCATAGGTTTATATGCTTAGAACACCTTCAATAGACAGAAAGATCCCATCAGCTAAATTCATAATGAATTTATATTCCAAGAAATTTAAAAAAAGTTTCTTTGGAAACACTAGTTGTTGTGGTATTTCTTTTTAAGTTTTATTTATTTATTTATTTATTTATTTATTTATTTATTTATTTATTTATTTTTGAGAGAGAGAGAGAGAAAGAGCAAGAGCTAGCATAAGTGGGGGAGGGTCAGAGAGAGAGGGGGATAGAAGATCTGAAGTGGGCACTGTGCAGACAGCAGAGAGCTTAGTGTGGTGCTTGAACTCACCAACCACGAGATCATGACCTGAGCTAAAGGCAGACGCTTAGCCGACTGAGTCACCCAAGCACCCATGTTGTGGTATTTCTACAGTATATTTTGTCATATCTGCTTTGAAGGTACATGTGACCTAGCAATCCTGAAACTATATGGTTATTTTTGAAATTATAGGAAATGTTTTCAGTGAAGTTGATTTATGTTTACCCTTTTATATCATTGACATATTTTAAATAAAAAGTGTTTTCATGACAAGATAGAAGAAGGAAAATAGACATTACAATGTACTCCTTCTAATTTACTGATAAGAGAAAATGAAATAAAGTATTTAGATAAAGATGATGATTAAAACACCCAGTTGGAGAAAAAAGTTATACAACTGGAAAATAGAATATTGTATATTGATTCCTAACGTTAGTTTTAGTTCTTTTCCTTTTATTGTTGGTTTTCACTTCCCATTGTTCATTTAAGACTAGACATACAACAATCAAAATCATTGGCTCTGCTTAGAAAAAAAAAAGCCAAAAATAGTAGACTAGGTGCTGCTCTTTTACTTTCCTTCACGCATATGAAATGAGTAAACAGTGGCTCTTGTGATCCTATCACCTATGATGTCAAAAGGATGGCATCAAGAACAGTAAACATACTGAACCTTTAAGGGGCAACCTTACCATTCTTCTAGAATATTTTATTATGGAAATTAACTGCAAACACATTTTAAGAAACCCATGCAAAAATAAAACAGGTAAAAATAGACTTAGAAGTTTGAGAATAACGGCAGGTGAGCAGTTGCTCATAAACTTCTGGATAACAAACAAACAGCGGTAATAAATTATTCATATGTTCACAACCCAAGGGAACAGTACAATGTACCAAGAGGTGTTTAACAGTTAAGAAACACAGTCATTTTGAGGTACCTGGGTGGCTCAGTCAGTTAAGCGTCCAGCTGTCTCTCAGTCTCAGCTCAGGTCTTGATCTCAGGGTAGTTAGTTTAGTTCAAGCTTTGTGTTGGGCCCACGCTGGGTGTGAAGCCTCACTAAAAAAGGAGAGAGAGAGAGAGAGAGAGACAGAGAGACAGAGAGACAGAGACAGAGAGAAAGAGAGAAAGAAAGAAAAGGAAGGAAGGAAGGAAGGAAGGAAAGAAAGAAAAAAGAAAAGAAACAGTCATTTTTCTGTACTTGCTTTCTATCTTCCTCCCTTAATACAATATTTCACAAATAAAATTTTATATCCCATGGGCTAAATGTTTTACATTTATTTCTTTTTAATATTAAAGCTCAAATTAAATCACTGTTTATGAGCCACAGAGAATGTTTCTCTGAGGCTCAGAAAATAATTTGATGTTCGTTGATTATCTAACATCTGTAAGGCACCAAGTACGACTATCATTTGGGAAACAGTAGAAGAAAGATTAAATAAGTATTTCATATGGCTCCTGGGACAATTCATTACAGCTCTTCATACATTTTCAGAACGATAGGCAAAGAAAATAGGTGATTTAATAGGAAGAGAGAAATACAGAATGTATAAAGGAAAGCATATTTTCTAGCTTACTCTGGAAGGCTTTCCCTATTATGAATGTGAATTCCTTCTTCTAAACTCCCACTGCACCTATATTTTTCTAGTAGAGTAAGAATTTCGCTTTTATGAGTTTTCCCACTTAGACCTTAGTCTATGCTTTTGGCCAAGGATAAATATTTTTGATACTTAACACCTAATATATCAGTTATGTATGGCTATGGAACAAACCAAACTTATTGGCTTAAAACTCCAATGATTGATCATTTCTCATGTTTTTCTTGGTTGACTAGTTTGTCTCCAGACCTCACTTGGATCCCTGATGTGACTGCATTCTTCTGGTGGCTCGGCTGGGGCTGGAGGGTCTAATATGACCTCAGCCACTTGTTTTTGTCCTTACCTGTGATGGCTTAAATAACTGGGAGGGGCTGAGATTCTCCCCCCACATGGGCTTTCATCCTAGATTCTTCTATGTGTAATCACAGAGTTCCAAGAAAGCCAGCCCAGTGACAAGTGCTCATCAGGCCTCTGCTTGCCTCATATGTCTGATGTTTCATTGGTGAAACCAAGTCACATGGCCAAGCAAAGAATCACTGTGGAAGGGGACAATACAAGGACATGGATGTAAGGAGTTGTGTTTCATTGGTGTCCATTAATGTAATAATATAGCACACCTAGGTAGAGGTCATTGGTTGAACTAAACAATGTATGTATGCATTAAATATTTGTGGAATTGTAATGTATTCAACTACCTCTTCTGGAACAGTGTAGAGAAAGTATTTGCTCTCTCTTCAAGCAGCAAACTAAAGTGTGTCTTCAATCAGAAGGGAAATGAGGCAATGTCTCTAGAATAGACAGAACCCAATTAATTGATTGCTCTTGTGTCCTGAAATGGAAGAATCCAACGTATTTTGCCACTTAGAAGTCTATAAGGAGACTGAGTGGATCAAGAAGTGGTAGAGTTAGTTGATAGTGTACTAGTAACGGCTTATGACATTGCAGTAAGTTTTTTATACTCACTTTTGTGTAATAAATCTAAG